AATAATTTGCGATTAAAATCGTGTCATATGTGTGATATTGCTAATAATGGCCATAACTGTGACTATTAAATATTAACCGGCATGTTTAGTCTGCTACAGTGATATGTAAAAGCTACACTGAGTTGTCCAGGGGACTTAACCCTTCACCCCAATGTAACTTTAGTAGACTCTACCATGCACTGATCGGGATGAGTCCATTACAGTTTACAGTGGTGAAAGGGTTAAATCAGACCGGACAAACAACTCTCTACTTTAACATTCATGCAAGGCTACACTTATCTTCCTATTTAAAGTGTTATGTTTACTCAATTCTTAATGCCATTCTGTCTATAAAACCCTCAATTTTCCTTGCACCACAATTTTTAGATGTATATTGTAAATTTGTTCATGCATGCCTTGTGACAGATAAGCATTGATATTGATTATAAAGATGGGGAAAAAATGTCACATATAAAAAAACAATTCCAAAAGGTTTATTGAATGAATGGAAATTTATTTTTTAAAGGGAGATAATTCATGCTCTTTATTTTTATCATTGACATATTTTATTTTTTTATTCAAATTTTCTATTTTCAAAACAAGTTCCATTGATTATAAACTTTTTTGTTTCTCGCTTTAATTTTGAATTCAACATAGTTTACTGAAAACTGCAGTTATCTCCCTTTACAATGTTTACTCATTCAAATATACTTTCAATTTTTAGGTGGCAGTTTTTCCCACTTTTTTGGAGTATTTATTCCTTAAATAATAAACAAAATAAATTATCGAAAATTAGTCCATCATGATGCTGATCAATTATGATGAATCTTTGTCACAGAAATTTTTAGAAGTATTATTTTTGTATGTACATTGTATGTATATATGGGGCAAGGAAGCATTTCCAATAGTGTTGACAATTTATATGAGGTTGTAAAATTTTCCGAACAATCTGTTGTTTTCCTCATACGAACATATATAGATATACTTCATATTTTCATATTCCTGAGAATATTTTAAATAAGAAATGAAGCGTAATGTATAAGGACAAAACCAATACACTTAACTCTAATCAACATATATTCAGCTGGTTTAGCAGGTGTTGATTTGTCATCCCATATAATGTAATTATAAACTGGCGGATTTAATTCAAACCAGATTTTGACACCTGATTGTTCTGTACATGTGCATATAGATTTAAGGATAATATGTAAAACATTCCAGAGATATATCAAAGAGCAGATGGAGATTATGAAACATTTAAACCAATACACTAATTATATGTACTGTACAATTTTATATTAAGGCCCAGCAAGTGTTAGATTTATCATTCAAAATGTACCTACAGGGAACAGCAGCAGTGCATGGGTTTATATATCTATATTGGCTGTGTTATATACCTATCTGTATCATATAAAGCTGATTGACACCTGATTGAACTATACCTGTACACACAGGTATATAGATAATATTGACAGCTGATCTTGATTGACACCTAATCATACCATATACATGTACATACAGGTATGTTGATATATAATATGGAAAGTGGATCATGAATGACACATGATCCTTTATTGCTTGTACACACAGTTGTTATATATATTTTTCCTTTCTTCAGTCATCAAATGAACCCTATACTAACCAAAAATGTACATTTTAATTAACCTATATTTTCATTTGTTCTGCATCCTTCCCATTGCTTCCATTGCCATGCATTTAGAAGGCAAATCTTGTTATCAGACTATAACAACATTTGCTATTGTAACATAATCAATCTCTATTGGGATGTCATCAATTTCATTTTTTTTACTTTGCTGTTCAAAAACTGTTCGAAATAACTAAATAAAGCATAAATACTCTATCAAAATGTAAATATAAATAATGAATATTAGGAAATATTGTTATGGTCCTATAATACACATTTCTGTTGCTGACAAACTTACATACCCGGCTTTATTAAGTTTCTCATCAATAGCAATATGTGTTATAGGACCATAACAACATGTTTACCAGTTACAAACTACTTGGCTCCTTCTGAAGGGTCTCTTCTTTTAGTGTAATCAGGGTTCGATGATGATGTGACATCAGATTAAAATTGTGACGATTATTAATTCCGGAACGTTTTTGATTGAGGATTGTCACCCGACAGAACTTGGTAATCATCGAAAATATGACAAGTTGTTCCATCAAAAATATATATTTTATTGAAATGTCCTAACTAAACCTTGTTGTTAAGAAATGAAGCCTTATTATGCAGAAACAACTATACACTTAACACTAGTATAGCATATTCATCTGTCAATAAGCCCATGCCTGGTAATAAGCCCGCCTGTATCTATTGCACTTTAATGGTTAAATGTCAACAGTTGCTATTTCATTGTCCTGTAATAAACCCACCCTTTTCTATTGAAGTTCAATGGTAATTAATGGTAGTAAGTGTACCCCTTTTTATGAGTTTAACATTATGTGTTTGCCCCCTGGGCTTATCGCAGAATAAATATGGTATATACTCCGTGTATGTAGGCACAGCAGGTGTTGATTTGTCATCCCAAATATGTCTGGGTGCAGCAGTACCAGGATTGATATATACAGCCACTACACATATTATAAACTGGCAGCTGATACCCCACCTTGATGTTTATATATACATACTATTGAAACAGAGGCAGTTATAAAGCAGACAGCACATTTTGGCACTATTAAATCAAACCAAATATTGTCATAAAAATGGAGATGTTTGATTGACTCATTCACCTCTGAAATTTCATAATGAAATATTCCAAACTTTGAAATGGAGTAGTTCAAATGTCTTCAGGGGTCGGGGAATGAGCTAATAATTGACTACTAGTGCTTATAAGTTTCTCTTAGGTTCTTGGTTGCTATGGTTATTTAAGGGCGACCAGGAATAAGTTTTTTTTGTTTTAAGTTGTTGTAATTCTCCAATGTTTACAATCTAAAGATAAAAATGAGGATGTTTGTTTTGGAAGAAATTCTTCCCTCGTCATAACATCACGTACTGTTTGTCAGGGAATATTTCAGTTTGGCGTGTTCTGTTTTACATAATTTAGCGTCTTATGAAATTGTGTGTTTAATTTACATAGCTGCCACAATAGTGTCACTTCTTAAACGTTGTTGAAATTGTATCTTTCTTTACTGACTGTCGACTAGACGGATATAGTTGTCAAGCAATTTACATAACTCTTATTATAAGATGATGTAGAAAAGCTTGAAAGGTGACTTCATGATCGATTCATTGTCACTCGCATATATACACAAATTTCAACCTTCAAGGTCAAGGTCATCAGAATATTTACTTATAATAATGTTTGCCTGTAACACAATAAAATTATTAATATCATCTTAAGTTTTTAACATTTTAAATGTAGCCTCATTTCTTGACTTGATGGTTTAATAATTTCAATGGAATTTATGTATGAATATAATAAAAAAAAATATACTGGTGTTCCGCATCTAGGCAAGTTATATATGTGTGCAGCTTTTATGAAAACCGTGTATTGCATGCTAATTCCTACACTGCGACAAACCCTGTTTAGATATTTATTGAGATGTATTGGTTGGTCCCTGAGTGTTGTGGTATAGCATATAGATATATTATTATTTCATCGCTGGTGTTACTGGATAGGGCTCTATCTGTTTGTAGTCATGTACATGTGTATGCAGTGTCTGTGCATCAATTTATCAAGGGCATATCTTATAAACTCCATCAACTACATATTCACATCTACAATTGCTGATTTCTGCATATGATGTTGTGTACGTCTTTGGGTTGTAAAGTCTTACATACTAAATTCAGGTATTATGCCCAGTTTAATATACAGAGTTATTGCCCTCTGGTGTTTCATAATGTCCAAGAAATATCTTATATACTCTGCGATAACAATTACCTGATTTTGTATACAAGTACTTCTTGGGATGTCAGAGTGTCACGTACAGAGATCGGACCCATCGACACAAACTATACAAAGTTATGGCCCTTTGTTCATTTTTTATATTGAAATTTGTTCATAGTTGTGAAACTATGGACTACTCACATAGTGTTTTTTTTATTGTTTTATATATTGGGGATATCTGCACTCCATAGATTTCCTTGTAACCTGAATGTGTATGAGATAGTCCAGCCTCTGTATCTACAGTTCATTGGATTCAGGTTCAAACCCAGTGTCTTGCTCATACATTTTTCCCTTCCTCTGACCAACCCTCATTTCATCATTACATGCACTGTATGGTTTGGCCAAGGGATACCTAAACCTGGGTTGTAAAAAGGGAAGCAATAGTCTGTAGCAGACCTTGGCAGAGTCAATTGTTAGTACTGTATAATACTAATACTACATGTAAGACTAATCTATATAGAAAACCCAGTTGCTGGAGCACATATACATAAAGAGTTTGAACTCGAACCAACCTGTGGAATTTGCATGTTTCATTTTCAAATCCCAGTCTGGTTCAATGCAATTTTTACCCTCCCATATATATAGTATACCATATTTACCTGGCAATAAGCCCAATTGCCTGATGATAATACTGTATACCGGGAAATCTTCGCCCAGTCAAACTTATGCCCTATGCCTGTAATATCCATTTTCGCCCAGTTTTAATTTATTTTAATAACGTCTTATTAAATTACGATGTTTATTATGCTCTTTATTTATATTTGCTCTAATGATAAATTTGCCCTTGTTAACGAGGGTGAAAAAGGAAAAAATTGAACTGTAGTAAAAATGTCTGGGTATACCGTAAGCTCATCCATATTTATTGCAGTTTAGCAAAAAATGCCATCAAATGCTATTTTTTTGTCCTGTTATAAGCCCACGCCATTCTTTGAGTCCGAGATTATCTGTTGGATCCCTTGGGCTTTCTGCAGAATAAATATGGTACACATGTTATAAATACAGGTATACATCGGTGTAACCAATATGGATACATTATACTCAGGTCTGAAGTATTCCCCAACCAAAACAGTAAACATACAATAATTAATTTCTCCTCTTATCCATTTCCAGGACAACATCAATGTTTACCTGCAGACCTGCCGGAACTCCTTTCACTTGAACGAGGCTCACCTGTTTGACGGTACAGACTTAGAAGATCTGTCTCAGAGGGCTATATCAGAGTAAGTCTTCAGCCATCACATACTGTCTTAACACGACTGTTAGTAGAGACGTGGTTTTTTTTGTCTTGCTGCCATGAAGTGGAAGCGAGACTTAGGTGTTGCTTTTCCGGTGACGGCATCAATATTAAGTTTTTGCGTTTAAGTTAGTTTCACTGAAAGTGTAAGTGTTAGACCAACCAAACTTGGACCATAGATGCATCTTAGGTAGTACATCTCAACCTATGCATCAAATGCTGGATGCGGCTTACCTGTCATGGTCCATTTACTTTGTCAGCATCTCAATCAACATTAAGATTTTGCGTTTAGGTTAGTTTCTCTAATATGTTCATTGATGGTCAAAGACATATAGGCAAGACATATTTATCCGAATGACTTGTTGTTTCAGGAATGAAATTTTCCTAAACTGATTTAGCTTAGAAAATTTGCATTTAGCCACAAAAAATGTAAGCAGTATGCTCCATGGTAAATAGAAATAATCGTGGGCACACCTTACTGTCACTTAACTGACTTTGTTTATGGGTTTTGATCAAACTCAACTCAATAGTTGGTCAACAATAAGAAAACCCTTGTGTATGCATGTTTCAGGGTGTTTTGGCTAAGGTCAAGGTCACTATTACAATTTATAGAAAATATTATCTCATATAAGTTGAATGAATTCATTTTAAACAGATTTTGATAGAATTTTACATATTAGTCAAGTATGAGAATATTTCTGAAGAGTTTGTATTTCAGGGTACTTGAAGGTCAAGGTCACCACAACTATTTATAGAAAATTGTTGTCATCCGAGTCTAAAAATTAAATTAGACTTGAACATTCAAAAGTCAAGTATGGGAATGCATGCAAGTTTGTGCTTCGACAAAAGCCAAGGTTACTGTGTAGTATTATGTAAAAGTGAAAATTATCACGGCGTGGAATTGATCTTGTTTTTTTCGTACAGTAAACCCTCGATAAAATGCCCTTTGATAAAATCCCACTCTGTTTACCGCCAACATATTTCAATGTCCTGTTTTCTGGGTTTTTCAAGAATTTCTTTATATATTATTTCCTTCAATTTATCACCAAACCCCTTTATAACACCAAAATTTCTCGGGACAAATATTGTGGCAGTATAACGTGATTTTACTGTATTTGATAAATCAGCACAGAAATATCCACACATAGATTATAATATACATATAGAGATTATAGATATATTGAATATGTAAAAATGTCCACCCCGCACACCGCAATCAGACTTTAAAGAGTTACAAGCCATTAACATTTCACCTGCAAGAATTCCCAACTTTGTATTTATAGAAAATCTTAATCACTTTAAAGTAACTTAACAAATTCACTTTGGGAAAAAACTTAATTAAGATAACAAATTAGTTACAGATAAAATGATATTCAGTATCAGAGACTGAAGTTGTTAGAATGATACATAACTAGATACTGTTGTCAGGATGTAGGCTTGTACATGCAAGACTTTCTTTGTTTTGTATTGTTTTAATGCGATTTCTGCCTTAGGCTGTGGCTAGTTGAAATGGATTGTTTAAAGAGAAACAAGAAACTGACTATCTCATGTTAATTGCGTGTTTTCCCCTGTTAAATCCCTGAAATCTTTCTTCTCCATAGACAAACGATAAAAGTATGAATAATTAAGCATCTTGGAACAATCAATCGAGCAGGTCCATACACAAAGAAACACATTATGACCCCATGGTGGCCAGAATTAGACATACTAAATTAGATGTGGAATCAGATATAAAACAGCCACAGGTAACCTGGGGGAGCAGTTGTACTTTGAGGTAGAGGAGGGAGATGTAGGTGGTATTGAATAGCCACTGGTAACCTTGGGAACCAGTTATACTTTGAAGCAGAGGAGGGAGAGATATAGGTGGTATTGAATAGCCACAGGTTACCTCGGAACCAGTTATACTTTGAAGTAGAGGAGGGAGATGTATAGGTAGTATTGAATAGCCACTGGTAACCTTAGGAACCAGTTATACTTTGAAGTAGAGGAGGGAGAGATATAGGTGGTATTGAATAGCCACAGGTTCCCTCAGAACCAGTTGTTGTACTTTGAAGTAGAGGAGCCAGATGTAGGTGGTATTGAAAAGACACAGATTACCTCGGAACCAGCTATACTTTGAAGTAGAGGAGGTTATAATTTGAAGTAGGGGAGGGAGATGTAGGTGGGATTGAATAGCCACAGGTTACCTGGGAACCAGTTATACTTTGAAGAAGAGGAGGGAGATGTAGGTGGTATTCAATAGCCACAGGTTACCTCTGAACCAGTTATACTTTGTAGTAGGGGAGGGAGAGATATAGGTGGTATTGAATAGTCACAGGTTACCTCAGAACCTCAGAACCAGTTATACTTTGAAGTAGGGGAGGGAGATGTAGGTGGTATTAAATAGCCACAGGTTACCTCTGAACCAGTTATACTTTGTAGTAGGGGAGGGAGAGATATAGGTGGTATTGAATAGCGACAGGTTACCTCGGAACCAGTTAAACTTTCAAGTAGAGGAGGGAGATATATAGGTAGTATTGAATAGCCACTGGTAACCTTAGGAACCAGTTATACTTTGAAGGAGAGGAGGGAGATGTATAGGTGGTATTGAATAGCCACAGGTTACCTCAGAACCAGTTGTTGTACTTTGAAGTAGAGGAGGGAGATGTAGGTGGTATTGAATAGCCACAGGTTCCCTCGGAACCAGTTATACTTTGAAGTAGAAAAGGGAGATGTATAGGTGGTATTGAATAGCCACAGGTTACCTCGGAACCAGTTATACTTTGAAGTAGGGGAGGGAGATGTAGGTGGTATTAAATAGCCACAGGTTACCTCGGAACCAGTTATACTTTGAAGTAGAAAAGGGAGATGTATAGGTGGTATTGAATAGCCACAGGTTACCGCAGAACCAGTTATACTTTGAAGTAGAAGAGGGAGATGTAGGTGGCATTGAATAGCCACAGGTTACCTCAGAACCAGTTATACTTTGAAGTAGAGAAGGGAGATGTAGGTGGTATTGAATAGCCACAGGTTACCGCAGAACCAGTTATACTTTGAAGTAGAGGAGGGATATGTAGGTGGTATTGAATAGCCACTGGTAACCTTGGGAACCAGTTATACTTTGAAGTAGAGGAGGAAGATGTAGGTGGTATTGAATAGCCACAGGTTACCTCGGAACCAGTTATACTTTGAAGAAGGGGAGGGAGAGATATAGGTGGTATTGAATAGCCACAGGTTACCTCGGAACCAGTTACACTTTGAAGTAGGGGAGGGAGAGATAAAGGTGGTATTGAATAGCCACAGGTTACCTCGGAACCAGTTATACTTTGCAGTAGGGGAGGGAGAGATATAGGTGGTATTGAATAGCCACAGGTTTCCTCGGAACCAGTTATACTTTGAAGTAGGGGAGCGAGAGATATAGGTGGTATTGAATAGCCACAGGTTACCTCTGAACCAGTTACACTTTGAAGTAGGGGAGGGAGAGGTATAGGTGGTATTGAATAGCCACAGGTTACCACAGAACCAGTTATACTTTGAAGTAGGGGAGGCAGAGATATAGGTGGTATTGAATAGCCACAGGATACCTCGGAACCAGTTATACTTTGAAGAAGAGGAGGGAGATGTATAGGTTGTATTGAATAGCCACTGGTAACCTTGGGAACCAGTTATACTTCGAAGTAGAGGAGGGAGATGTAGGTGGTATTGAATAGCCACATACAGGTAACCTCGGAACCAGTTATACTTTGAAGTAGGGGAGGCAGAGATATAGGTGGTATTGAATAGCCACAGGATACCTCGGAACCAGTTATACTTTGAAGAAGAGGAGGGAGATGTAGGTGGTATTGAATAGCCACAGGGGTATTGAATAGCCACAGGTTACCTCAGAACCAGTTATACTTTGAAGCAGAGGAGGGAGATGTAGGTGGTATTGAATAGCCACATACAGGTAACCTCGTTACACTTTGAAGTAGGGGAGGGAGAGATAAAGGTGGTATTGAATAGCCACAGGATACCTCGGAACCAGTTATACTTTGAAGTATACTTTGAAGTAGAGGAGGGAGATGTAGGTGGCATTGAATAGCCACAGGTTACCTCAGAACCAGTTATACTTTGAAGCAGAGGAGGGAGATGTAGGTGGTATTGAATAGCCACGTACAGGTAACCTCGGAACCAGTTATACTTTGAAGTAGGGGAGGGGGATGTAGGTGGTATTGAATAGCCACAGGTTACCTTAGGAACCAGTTATACTTTGAAGTAGAGGAGGAAGATGTAGGTGGTATTGAATAGCCACAGGTTACCTTAGGAACCAGTTATACTTTGAAGTAGAGGAGGGAGACGTAGGTGGTATTGAATAGCCACAGGTTACCGCAGAACCAGTTATACTTTGAAGTAGAGGAGGGAGCTTTGAAGTAGAGGAGGGAGATGTATAGGATGTATTGAATAGCCACTGGTAACCTTGGGAACCAGTTATACTTTGAAGTAGAGGAGGGAGATGGATAGGTTGTATTGAATAGCCACTGGTAACCTTAGGAACCAGTTATACTTTGAAGTAGAGGAGGAAGATGTAGGTGGTATTGAATAGCCACAGGTTACCGCAGAACCAGTTATACTTTGAAGTAGAGGAGGAAGATGTAGGTGGTATTGAATAGCCACAGGGTACCGCAGAACCAGTTATACTTTGAAGGAGAGGAGGGAGATGTATAGGGTGTATTGAATAGTCACTGGTAACCTTGGGAACCAGTTATACTTTGAAGTAGAGGAGGGAGATGTATAGGTGGTATTGAATAGCCACAGGTTACCACAGAACCAGTTATACTTTGAAGTAGGGGAGGGAGATGTAGGTGGTATTGAATAGCCACAGGTTACCTCGGAACCAGTTAAACTTTGAGGCAGGGGAGGGAGATGTAGGTGGTATTGAATAGCCACATACAGGTAACCTCGGAACCAGTTATACTTTGAAGTAGAGGAGGGAGATGTATAGGGGGTATTGAATAGCCACAGGTTACC